TAAGCTACCCCCCAAAGAAATACCTTAAAAATCTAAAATGTTAATTAAAAATTATCTCTTTCCATATTACTACAGTCTTAATTTCCTAGTAAAGAAAGCTGTAATTTCCAAGTAAAGAAAGTTGGCCCAGGGGCTAGAGAGATGGCTCAGGGTTAAAAGTACTAGCTGTTTTTCCAGGGGACCTGGGTTCTCAGCACCCACATAGTGGCTCACAATCACCTGTATGTAACTCCAGTTTCAGAGGATCTAGCACCCTTTTCTTGCCTCCACAGGCACCAGGCAAATATGGTACATAGACATATATGCAGGTAAAACACCCATACACATAAATTTTTAAAAAGCTTTTAAAAAAGTATGGCACCGTTTTGAATTGAGTTTTATGTTCATATTGTTGTAGGTAGGAGGAAGACACATAGGCCAAGATGCACAAGTGGAAATTAGAGGACAACTTCTGAGAAGACAGTTCTCTCCTTCTACCATGAGTAGAAGCTGGGACTCACAATTCAGGTGCCAGGACAGACAAGCCCCTTCCTTTATCCACCAAGCCATCTACTCAGCCCAATTTGCAAAATCACTTTAATTTAACAGATGACAGCTGAGTTTTCCTCTGTGTCCCAAATATCCTATACTCTCAAAATCTCTGCCAAAGGGAATTCGTGATATTTAAAAGAAAAACTAAAAGGCATCATTTCAGCATCACTGTAACATGGCCTTCCTGAAAGGGTATTAGTAACAATAAACAGTATCTTGGTGATTCACAAGAGCCATAGGACGGCTACTAATCAAAGAGAGTCAATAGCAAGTGTCAATGAGAAAGCAGTAACTGGAACAGCCTGTTTAGAAAATACTTTGGCAATTCCCCAAAGACTTAAACATACAGTTACCATGTGATCCAGAAATTTTACTTCTAGGTCTACACCCAAAAAAAATGAAACCATATGTGAATCATGAGTGTTCACGGAGACACTATTCATAACAGAAACAGAAATTTACATGTCCAGCCGGGGATGAAGAAATAAGATGCGGTGCACATCCATATAGTGACATATTACTAAGCAGTAATGTGTAAGTGAGCAGTAGTAAGTAAGTGAGATGGTTGAGCAGGTAAAGGTGTTTGTCATCACGCCTTGGCACCATGAGTTCAATCATTAGGACCTGCACATTATCTTCTGATAATCCCCCCCCCAAATATACACATATAAAATAACTGCTAGATTACAGTTCAGATGATTCATGAAAGCATCATAAAACAGACACAATACAAATCCATAATCCTAGCTCTGGAAAGGCTGAGGCAGAAGACAGCAAACGAAGGCCAGCCTGGGCTCTACGGGAGAGCTTGCTTCAAAAACTACAACAAGGAAGAGTATAGAGTTTCTTTTGGGGGTGATGGTTACATAAGCCTATGAATGCTCTTTTTAAAAAGACATCACTTACGGCTTAAAGAAGCCAAATGAGTTGTCTCTGAAGTTTTAGGTTGCACTTTTAAAGAAAAGTTAAGCAGCCTCTGCTAATTAGAATCACTAAATCAGTTCTTTGGCAATTCATTAGATCATGCAAAACACTAATTTAAGAGACACCCTTTTCCCTTAGTATATCCTGTAATACTGGTTCACCCAGCCTTCTGCATAAGATATTGTCCAGAATAATACAACAGAAGCCACAGAAATTATTTCAAACATTCAAGCAGACATCCTGGAAAGGAGAGACTGAGAATAGCGTGATGGTAAAGACAGGACAAGAAGCCTTGGGTTCAATCCAAATTCACATTCACACATTATTTAATGTAGTATGTGCAAAATGTTATCTTAACATATACTAGCTCTAAAATCTATTAGGCCTTTAAAAATACTGAATTTCCCAAATCTGGCTGATATTTTATAGCTACAATACAGGTGAGCTCAGTGAAACTACACTTTCCCAAGCTCGGCTTCCACATATGGCTCTTAGCATCAAGATGAGCAGGGGGATTCTAAACCCACCCTGCATGGCTTAATGCCAATGTTATTTGTGATAAACTGGAAGTACTGTAACCTCCCCCATCAAGGAAAGGCCCACAGTCAAAAGCTATGCACACAATCCCCTCCACCCTCTACACCAGTTCACACAGGATTCTCTACCTTGCCTTTGACACAAAATCCTGAAATTCTCAAAGCTGCCTGCAATCGTTCATAATCAGGAGCAGATAAACAGCCTCCTATATCTGCCTTTTTAGAATCTATGTTATAAAAACCACTTATTAATAAAACCATTGTGGAACATAAACTATTCCAGTTACCCATAAACAGCAAATTAAACATTACACAATTAATTCTAGCTACTCCATGAAAAACATTTTGCTCTAATTTGGGTAAAGTTCAGATTTTATTAATATATATCAAATAAGTAATATTCATTAAATACCAACTGTACATAGCACTATATAAAAAAATATCTTGTTTCTATTTGTTGGCTACACACAAAAAGAATTAAGCTGGGCCTGGTGGCACACACCTTTAATGCCAGCATTCAAGAGGCAGAGGAAGGCAGCTATAAGTTCCAGACCAGCTGCTCTAAATAGTGAAACCCTTCCCCAAAATTAAATTAAAAATAAAAATAACCATCCTAATTTACAAATTACTAAGGAGGCTTAAGATAATTTCACCTAATTAGTAACATATTTATATAAATTTCAGTACAATGTCTTAGCCTACACTACACAGATACACTGATATTTTACATAGAAAGTGGAAAATGGAAGCTGTGGCGATAGCTCAGTGGGTAAAGCACTTGCCACACAAATGTATGGAGGACCTAAATTCAAAACCCCACATCATGTAATGCCAGATCTTTAATCAAAGATCATGCAAGGGCTGTAACAGACAGAATCCTTGATTATGAAACAAACAAGGAGACCCTATCACTAAACAAGGTGGAAGGCAAAGACTGATACCTGAGGCTGTCCTCTGACCTCCAGTCGTAAGCCTCTGTCTGGTATGTTTCCTCCCCCTCCCCAGAGGATTTCTTGCCATAATGAATCCATTACTTTGTGTGCTAACTTAAATAACACATTTTTAATGTGATTTGCCTAACAACACAAGCCTTCAATATATTCTTTTCCTCTTTCCCCTCTCCCAGATTAAGAATTTTCAGAATCAAATGTCTCCCAATGCCAGCCATTTGAGGGGATGTGGGGGTGCACTGGGGATCCAACCCAGGCTCCTGAACCCTATGACCTCAGCCCCATTCACAAGCATTATTATTATGCATTTTAAAGAAAATCACTATCATCAAATATTACTCAGAAACAAACTTTATAGCAAATAGCAAACCTAATAAGTTCCTTAAGAAAAGTCTAAGTTACAAAACTGTAGACCTTTTCTTGTGCTGTGAATAGACTTTCACAAATAGGGCCTCTGAAATCTGCTTCATCTTATTCTTGTGCATGTTTCTGAGTATCCTGCCTTAACTTATCCAGCAGTTTGATGTGTTTTTAGCTTGTGGTGTTGGGTAAGCTTTCAACTTTTATCACATTTTCTGCTCCCAGAGAATGTAACACACAAAACTTTAAACATTAACCAACATCAAAATAAGTTACAAAATAAGTTACCAGGCCAGCCTGGTCTACACAGTGAGTTCTAGGACGGCTGGGGCTACATGGTGAATATCTGTATTTAAAAACCCCCAAACCAAGCTGGGCGTGGTACAACTTTGATGCCTGCACTCAGGGAGGCAGAGACAGGCAGATCTCTGAGTTCCAGGCCAGCCTTGTAGGTTCAAGGCTATATGGAGAAACCCTGTCTCGAAAAACCAAACCAATCAAACAAACAAAGAAAGAAAAACAAAACAGAATTACTCTAATGCACATAAAAGCATACAGTCTCAAAAATATTTATATGAGACTATTCACAGGAACTGCAAACAGCTGAAAAAGATGACCCTGGGCTGTAGATTATGGCATATTCATTCGGTAATGTACACACATGCTGGAAAATATAAAATGCAAAGGTTTTTTTTTTAATTGCTGCGTTAATAAACAAGGTACGATGATTCAGTCAGCAAGTTTCTCTCAGCTGATGCCACACGCCCTCTTGCTTTACACACACACACACACACACACACACACACACACACACACACAGACACGCACCCCGACTTCACCTTTGGAACCAGATAAACCCTGAGAGAATTTAAAGGTACATTCCAGCGGTTGTTTGCTCCCTTGCCTAAAACTGTGTATGTTTGAGGCTGTCAACAATTCAAGTGCTCTAGAATGTGTTGAAAAAAAAATTAATTTGATAAATTCTACCAAGGCTCTTAATTAGCTGCAAGATTTGTTTTCCTGAACAGACTGTAAAGCAATCATTTGATTGGTAAGATTTCCCATTAACACCATTTTTTTTTTTTTTTCCTCGCGCTCGGTTGCAACCACCAATAACCCAGCCAGGGATCGCTCTCGTCTCCCTTAAAATCAAACAAAAAACCCTACCCAATGACTGGCAGCTAAGCGATGACGGATGTACTGACACAGAAACAGCAAGCGCCTGTGAATCAAAGTCACTTACTTTTCTCCTTCTGGCGTGAGCTTTTAAAATGTGTCCGAACACAACTTCCACGTCATAATTTTTTTTTTTTTCATATAAAAGGCCGGAGGGTGGGAGAGACTTCAGCATTCAAACCCGAGAACCAGCCCTCCACGTGCTCCACACCCCCAAACCTCTCCAATGCGCGAGCAGGGAAAACAATGACCCCCACCCAGCCTGGCCCAAGGCCGAGCGCCGCCCGCGCCCAGCCTCCCCACCGTGCCCGGCTCCTTTGTGAGAAGTGGGGGCCCGGGGCTCGGAGCTCGGCGGCCGCGGCGCGGCCCGGCCCCGCACCAGCTCACGCAGCCGAACCTGGCGGGGCCTGAGCGGAGCTCGTGGGGGGCCGTCGGCCGGCCGGGCCGCCCCTCCGCCGCCCTTCCCACCCCGTCGGCGACAAGGCGGAGGGGGGGGGGAGGGGAGCCCGGGCCGGGGCCTCACCTGCTGGACCGAGCTGTTCTCGGGCACAGCGAACTCCTCCTTCTCTTTCGGCGTCTTCACCGTGACCTTCATGATCTTGGGCTCCGCGGGGCCGCCGTCGGCCGCGCCGTCCTGCGCGCCCGGTGGGCCGCCGCTCTCCGCGCTCTCGGCCATGGCGGTGACTCAGGCGAGCGGGACGCTGAGGGGCGCTTGCGGCCGGGTCCGCGAGGCGCGACAGCTTGCGCGGTCACCGCGGGTGCGTGGACGCGGGCTGCCCGCTGCAGGCCCGGGTGGGCAATCGGCTGCGTGTGGACGCGGGGACTGTCTCCGCGCCGCCGCCGCCGCCGCTGCCGCTTCCTCCTCCCGCTCCTCCCCCACGGTCGTCGCCGGCGCGCGCGGGGCACGCTGGGTAACGCGCTGGCCGCGCCGCCGGCTCCTGGCGAGCGGCTGCGCGAGGCACGCCGGGTAGCGCGTCGGCGAAGCTGCCGGCCCCGCGCGGGGCTCGGCCCCTGCCCGGCTGGTGGGCGCGGCGCGGGCTCCTCCGGTTCGAAGGAGCGCTGTGCCCGGCGGGAGAACAGAACTCGCTTTGCTCCTCCGCCCCTCCCCCCCGGTCTCCGTTGAAAGAGTCTAAACGTGGTTTCTGGAAGGCACCATGATGGTGCGCCGACGTGACGTCACGGCCAGCGAACTTGGTAGAAACGGCCCGGCCCATTGGCGCTCGCTGGTGCCCGTGTCCTCCCGACCTGGTCCCCGTGGGCGTCGGCTTATGAAATAGCGGCGAGATACTCTGTTTTAATAAGCGTGCTGTTTGCCCGGGTGGAAGGAGCTGGGGGTTGGCCTGTCTTGTGCTAAGGGCTTGGAAGCTAAGTCAGCGGAGAAGGGTCTTCGAATGAACGCCAGGAACACGAAACGTGCCAGCGAACAACCCGCGCATTAGCAGCTAGCTACTCGCTGCTTCAGTGAGGCCACAGCTTCCCTCCCTGGAGTCAAACCGGTTTGGGCAGAAGATAGGGCAACGCTCATTGTCTGTCTTCCAAGCTTGTGTGGGGGCAGAAACAGGATGCCTGGGACTGTCCACCCGACGGGTAGGACAGCCTAGCTGATGTGTGCCTTTTGTACTCTGCCCAAGTCAGTTACCGAATTATCAGGCTTGAGGTGGCATCGGGGACAGTCGTTGAAAAAGTATTTTCAGCATAGTGTAGGTACAAATAAGTGAGTTTGTGTGTGAGTAGCACGACTTTTATTCGTAGGGATAATGTGTAATACATCCCGGCACTTTACTTTAATCAGCATTGCACAAATGTGAACTCTGACAGCATACTGTGACCCAAATATGCAAAGACATTCCACATTTCTGCTCTTAGGCCATCGAAGCCTGTTCTATGATTAACTGCTGTTGCATAAACACTTCTTAACAGAGCCCTTTGAAATCTGGGTCAGAGTTTTGAAGGGATGAACTGCGAGACAGGTATCATTTGCTATCACTTAAATGTCTGCCAGCATTGTTCGTTGATAGGAAAAAGTTACAAGGCTTATGTCTACTTGTGAGAAAATTGTTACTTCTTGGAGGAGGAAGTTCCACCACTGGGCAAGCAAAGCACTTTGGGATTTTGTCCTGAATATTTAAGTATGTAAAATCTCTTTCCAACCTTGTTAGGTCCCTGTTGTCTGGTCTTCCCTCATGCTGTCTTCTCCCCGAGTGCTTCCCTAGGCTGCCTCCCATGCCTCCCTGACGTTCTCTGTTCTCACATGACGGCCCACCGGAAGCCCTCACTCCCTTGCCCTTCAAGAAACCTTATGGCCAGTGCTCTCGTAAATCAGCTGTAGGTAGCCTCTGATGGTGGACATATGGGAGAGCCTTGGAATTAGCTGTGTTGGTTTCTCAACACTCTTGACGTACATAGCATGTTGTGAGTGGCTGTTCACCGACAAGCACGCAACTGCCATCTCTGAGAGTTCAGCTGTACTTTTGTGGAAAAGGTTCTTCCCCGCTGGGTTCTCCCAACAGAACTTTGGTGGAACCGTGCCTTGGTTTGTTGTTGAGACCTTAGGAGAAGGGGTAGCCATTGTTCATCCTGTCCCCTGGGAAGGAATTTTAGCAACTTAGCATAGTTTATGAAGTATTCAGTGTATTAGTTGCTTTCCATAAGTTTCTGACAAGCAGCAGCTTAGAGGAGGAAGAGATATTTGGATTCAAGGCTTGAGGAAATACAGTCCATCACGGTATGGGAGGCTTGGCAGTGGGGTGAGCTTGCAGCTGTGGTAGTGGGAGTGTGAACCAAGAAGCAGAAAATGGAAATGCCCAGGACACTAGACTCCTGAGATGGTGCTGCCCACATTCACGATGGCTCTTCTGTTATTTCTCTCTAGATAAGCCTCACAGGTAGGTGCAGCCAAAGGTGAGCCTCACTGGTGCCTGAGGTGTTGACAGTCAAAATTGGCCATCACAGTCAAGAAGATAGGGTTCCATTAATTACCCATCATCACAATGTTAACCCGACAGGCTCATGGATTATAAAGGACCATTGGCAATGTGGACAGGGATTTTCTAGATAAAAGATCTGTAAACTTTCTCCAAGAATAGGGTTCCAGCGGGCCATATGGTCTCTGTACAAAATAGTTAGCATAGATTTGCTGATCTTTGGTCTAGATGTCCATTTGAATCTTTTGGGGGGGTGGATTTTTATTAAATGATTGTTCTGGGGGTTATTAAAAGAACATATTTCAACTGTTCTACATTTAGTTGAGTAATTCTCAAAACCGAACCAAGCACTGGTGGATGGCATTTCCCAATTTCCTTGCAAATGTCCAATTTAAACTATCAACTTGAGGTCACTTGGGTCATAAAACACCTGGAATTTGAACATTCAGCTCTTACAAGCTAGTTTGAGCCAGCTGCAACTAGATAGTGGCTCCTGACTTTAGTCCCAACACTTGGGAGGCAGAAGTAGGCAGCTTCTAATTTCAGGGGCAGTTTGGCCTACAGAGGGGGTTCTAGGACAGCCGGCGCTATCAGAGAAACCTTGGGGAAGGGGGCAGTGTTCCCTGAGAGCATCAGTTAATGGAGAGTTTAGTAAGTGCCATTTAGCAAGTTTATTCTACGCCTGTGCGTGAGGATATAACAGCTGAGCCTGGTTTTGCCCATCCTTAGTCCTAGCATTTGGGAGGCGGAGGCAAGTGGATCTCTTGAGTTCAAGGCTAGCCTGGTCTACAAAGCGGTATCCCTGACAGCCAGGGCTACACACAGAGAAACCCTGTCTGGAAAAAATAAAAAAAGAATATGTAACTTAAATACAGTGTCATGTCAAATAGGTGATAAAAGTAACATGAAGAGTTACTTTTTTTTTTTTTTTTACTCTTCCCTGTTCTAGCTAGTTTATGTCAGCACAGACTGGAGTCATCAGAGAGGAGGGAGCCTCAGTTGAGAAGATGTGACTGCAGGAAACTTGTGGGTGTTTTCTTGTTAGTGACTGATGGGAGGGCCAGCCCATTGTGGGAGGGGCTATCCCTGGGCTGGCAGTCCTGGGTTCTATGAGAAAGCAAGACATGGAAAGCAATCCAATGAGCAGCATCCATCTATGGCCTCTGCACCAGGTCCTGTTTCCAGGGTCCTGCTCTGTTTGAACTCCTGTCCTGACTTCCTTTCATGATGAACAGTGATGTGGAAGTGCGAGCTAAATAAACTCTCTGCTCCCTAAATTGCTTGTGGTCATAGTGTTTCATCACACAGCGATAGAAGCCCTAACGAGTAAGGCACTCCCTTATTCTACGTTTTGTATAAAATAACGCCCAGGAGCTTTAGTAGAGACAGAAGGGTCTGAAGTTCCAGATCATTCTCAGGTAGTGTTTGAGGCCTACCTCAAAAGAAAATGACATTGAAAGTTTAGTTCCAAGTCTGTATAATATATAGTAAGAATAAATCTTAGTGTACTTTTCCCCAGTCTGTAGTGTTGCCAAGATTCCATTATAAACATATTTAATTTCAGTTGTATTTCACACTCTTGTTTTTTGATCTAGCTGGGATTTACTCAGGATTTGGGAACAGGCCTAAGAAAATCCCAGGTGTATCTTCCTGTAGCATTTTCTGCAAACACTGCTGCTGATTATGGGAACACAACCTTCCAGCATTGCCCATGTCACAGAAGTCGCAAGACTGGTTCTCCTGGAGACTAGGAACACAGTGTAACTGCTCTGACAGGTAGGCTCTGGCTCCCGATTTATTGGTCTTCAGAATTGCAAGCCTAATAATTTCTTTGCAGATGATAGATTTATCCCAAACAATTGAACTTAAAATGTGTTTCCTGAGCTTCTTTAAAGAAGATTCTGCTGCTGTATATTGTGGGAACCATAAGCGGATGAGCTGCATGGAAATGACAGATGTTCCACAGTAACAAATCTTTGAACTGTTTTATGAAGCAAATCTAGGATAATAAGGCATCTGAGGGAAAGCAGATCCTCAGGACCAAACTCCAGTGTGTGATGAGAGGCTCTTTACGTCTGGAGCACACAGGGGAGAATCAGGCCCTCGAGTTCCTGGTTTCTGGAGGACACTCACATTGTGTGACTTGTGGCTACATCGGTTAATCTCTAGTCGGCTGTCACTTTCTGCTCCCTATCTGCCTTTTCTCTTGTTAAGGACATTTGGCCCACCCAGATAAGCAGCCTCTTTCCCATGCAACAGTGTAGCCAAGGATTCTGTAGGCTAGACTTGGACAGGTATTTCCTCTGCGATTGAAACGTTCCATCCTGACTGGAAACTCCTTAATTAGGAAGGTAAACATTTCAAATAGCTTCAGGAAGTCTCTGAAACTGACCAATTCACTAAGTCCCCTCCCTGTCAAGAGTAAGCAGTAGGAACGGAGTTGCAAAGAAGATTCTCAGGCAAGCCAAGCCACAAAGAAGAGTGACACTAGACCAGCTGCCTGGAAAAGGTTTAGGCCAACCAAGGCACCTGGTGCCTCCAATGTATTGGCTTGCCTGCTGCAGACTGCAGTGTGCTCCAGGTTCCCAGCTTTCTGAGCTGGCATCCTGCTAAGACGAGCTTTGGTGATACAGCCATCTTTGAGTCATTTCTGCTCCTGTAAGGAGCTCCTCACCCATATTCCTGTAAGTAACCTCAATAAAACTCACTGATTCACCAAATTGCACTTTGCTGGTATCCTACTTTGGTCTGTCATGAGATCCCTGTCTGAGGTGAGCAGATGTGTATGTGTGTGTGCATGTATGCCTGGGTGCCTGTTGTATCTCCCCAGGAGTTGTTTTGTCACACAATAACATGCAAGCAAGAGGACCCATAAGGAATTGCACTTAAAGCATTCACACTGCTGCTGCAGTCTTGACTGCTGGTAAACTTTTCCATACATGTTACAGGCCTAT